ATCTGTTCTAGAGGGCTGTGAGGACCCCAAGGAAAGTGTGCAGGGGGAGGGAAGGGGAGAACATTTCATCTGGCAAGCAGGACTGCTTGAGCTGGTCGAATGATTGTCTTAGCATGATGTTGAATTCCATGTGTTTTTAAAATATATAAGCTGTTTTGGAAGGATTTATATCCTCAAAGGTAGAATATAAATCAATGCAATAAAATAATAAATAAAATAAAAATAGCACCACTGTTATTAACAACTTTAAAATCATTTGGTTTACTTTACAAACGTTCCCATGTTCCTTTGGGGAACTAATTAAACTCTTTGCTACTACTAAAGGATTTTAAATTCCCACCAAAAGAATGTGATCTGCATTTGTATTAACTGAATTTTTCCAGTGCTACTGGGATGCATCTACGTATCTCCTCTATTCCTGAAGGCTAAACATCCCAAGGAGCTATTGGGGATTTCCCAGTGGAAATTCCATAGAAATAAAATCTCTATGGATGTTTCAGTTCCTGTTACCATTCCAGCTGTTTTCCCTTCCACTTCAGAAAGGATTCCAGTCTCAGTATAACTCAGAATAAGAGGATGTTACATTCCCTACTCCTTGTATATGAAGGAGAAACACAGAGGCAAAAGGAGCAAAGGCAGGGAAATGTATCTGTTAATGCAAACCATGATGGTGGGTGTTGGTGGGATTTTCCTCTAACACCTTGGCAACTATTAACAAAGCTGTTTTTAAAGGCATGCATGCTGTAACAATTTAAGACACTGCTGTTCCAGGAGAATTGCAGAAGGTCATGAGAATGGATCATAATAGAAAAGGTTAAGATTGTAGCCATTCTCAGGGCTACCCATAGAATTATTTCCAAAGCCAAGTTCTTAGTGGGGGCCTCCCACCACTTTAAATCCACTTCCCTTTCCCTCCCGCTTTGTGCTCTTGCCTCCCAGGGATTGTGTGATCTCTCCCTGCACTTGGTCGATCCCCTGCTAGCGCTGTGGCTGAAGTACCTTGATGAAAAGTGTGGCTCAGATTGCATGGAGAGTTTCCACATCAGGGCAGCATATTCCTGGCAACAGAAGAATCACATAGCTCTAAATGTGGTAGCGTTAGCTGTATGGAGAATCCCACTGTGGGGGTGTTTCATCCACCCACCCCAAGACGCCACCATATGGAAAATGTAGTGGTTAGATCTGACCTTATATTGCTTCTGAAATATGCTCAGGCTATGGCAGTCACAAATTTCCAAGCTAAATAGCTTTCATAATGCAGAGCAACTATTGAGAATGCCTATTCTCGAGATTTTCATGCCAGAATGTAGTGCACCAATAGTCATTGTTAAAGGGGTTTTTTAGCTCAAAGTTAGGGCTTGGGATCTCCCTATCAGGAGGCAGTTGCCTTAAGAGGCAGGTGCTAGAGGGAGGGAGTGGTGCCAGTGTGTTGGAGACAGAAATGTATGTGCCATGTGGTCTGCTCTGCATTTGGTAGGATAGCTTACTGGACTCAGGTATGATGGTGGATGCTACCCCATCATCGGTACAGTGGTACCTTGGTTTACGAACTTAATCCATTCCAGAAGTCCGTTCTTAAACCAAAACCGAAACGAGGCGCGCTTTCCCCAATGAGACCTCCCACCACCAGTGCCCTTCCACCGTTCAGATTCCGTTCTTTAACAGGGGTAAAGATCGCAAACCAGGACACTATTTCTGGTTTTGTGGAGTTCGTAAACTGAATCATTCAGTTCTTAAACCGAGGTACCACTGTACTGAAGTCAGAGTCAACTGTATTTGGAATTGAACCTGGAATGGGTGTATGTGCCATCTTGTCATTCAACTCAGGCAGCAAATATAACAACATTAAAACAATCCAACTTAAACTGAAATGTATTTAAAGCAACTAAAACCATGTGAAAACATTTACAAAAAATTACATACCCCCATAGTTACTGATTTCGATTGGCCATCAAAAGCCTGGGTAAACTGTACTGTCTTTAGAATTCTCCAGAAAGTCAGTCGTGAGGGGGGCAGATGGACCTCAGCAGAGAGGGCATCCCACAAATGGAGAAACACCATCAAGAAGGCCATGTTGGTGATGGGGCCTAGAATAGTAGATATTGGGAGAGTCAATCCATAAGGTACTTGAGTCCAATGCTGCTAATGCTAACACCATGAATCTGGCTCCTTGCAACATCCCTGTTGAGATGTGACCTAATAAAGACATTTAGGGGTTTCTAAGCCATGACCTTGAACTGAGCTACAATAAGGTCATGCAGTTCTGAAGTTCTAGTGAATCGTGTTCCTGGTGGCCCAGGGTGAGGGTTAATTTTCTTCTCAGGAAATTAGCTGTTGTGTTTTGTAAGGATCTCAACAGAAATATCATATAACCCAGCCTAGACACCACAAATGCATCAATAACCATAGCCATGTCTGCATGAAGAAAGAAAAGATATTGCAGCCTGCTACAGAAAGAGGCACTGAGACTCGCACCCTGTCAAAACACAGCCAGCTCTTCTATAATCGTCTTCAAGACTCTGCTAAAATTTTTGTGCTGTAGGTCTTGCATGTAAGCATCACAGTTTTTTTTATTTATCCAGGACAGCACATTGCTTACTATGAAAGGTAAGATACATTCCAAAAATTATTTGCCACTTTGTTTTGATTGAAAAACCCCAGTGCAAACATCCTATTTATATAAAGATGGCTTCTCTCTGTTCCAAAGCACAAATTTCTTGTCAAGTGTGAATGGTGTTTAGTATATAGATGCTTATGTTTAGGCCCAGGATATATTGCCAAGTGTCACACAGGCTCTCTGCGGTGACAGGAAAGGCAAAAGGTACAAATCTATTTATATTGCTCAAATTAGGGCCAGATGGGCTTTCAAAGAAAAGCATGGACTACAAGGGCTCCATGTCATTTTTTATCTCTCAATTTAAAATGACATTGCACCTGAGACCTAAGGTGAAGCCATAGCTACAATGCAACGTAAGCGCGGCTCACAACAAAATCCACTGAGAAGAATGCATTAAACCACAAGTAGAGGAAAAAGAAAAATGAAAATCTGATGTGAAATTTCTAGTAACACAGGGTTGGCTCAGTCTGAAGTGAACTGTTTTGGATCCCAGAGCTGAATTTGCATAAGGTTACTTTCAGAAATGAAGGGACGCAGGTGGCACTCTGGTCTAAACCACAAAGCCTAGGGCTTGCCGATCAGAAGGTTGGTGGTTTGAATCCCCGCAACGGGGTGAGCTCCCGTTGCTTGGTCCCTGCTCCTGCCAACTTAGCAGTTCGAAAGCATGTCAAAGTGCAAGTAGATAAATAGGTACCACTCCAGCGGGAAGGTAAATGGCATTTCCGTGCGCTGCTCTGGCTCACCAGAAGTGGCTTAGTCATGCTGGCCATATTACCTGGAAGCTCCCTCGGCCAGTAAAGCGAGATGAGCACCGCAACCCCAGAGTTGTCCGTGACTGGACCTAATGGTCAGGGGTCCCTTTACCCTTTACCTTTACTTTCAGAAATATTGCTAGCACAAAGCTAGTCAACACAGTTGCAATTCAGTAGTCCCACAAATCATTTCCGAAGGATCTTCCAGATTCTGGATACTGTCTGTGAAGCTAATATTGTCTAATGTCCAACATGGTGTACTACCAGCATAGAACATTCCTAGAGAGATGCTCTGTGTTCTTTATAGATGTTTATAGATTAGTATGATTAGTATCAACTAGAAGCACTTTGTGTACAGGCAACTCTCCTTTTACACGAGGGCTACACACATTCATGTACAGTGGTACCTCAGTTTTCTAACGTAATCCATTCCAGAAGACCGTTCGACTTTCGAAACGTTCAAAAACCGAAGTATTTACTTTCAGAAAACTCAATACAGGAGCCACATGGCACGTTCGACTTCCGAAAAGCGTTCGAAAATTGAAGCAGTTACTTCCGGGTTTTCGGCATTCGAAAACCGAAATGTTCGACTTCTGAGACGTTCGAAAACCAAGGTACCATTGTACATTCAAAACACCATTCAAAAAGCCTGCAGACACCCCTGCCCCTTTTTGTGACATTTTCAGGTCACTTCCGGGATCAGGTTGATGTGCGTATGCATGGTTGTGCACATATTGAATGCAGAGGGTTTAATGGGCTGGTCAATTGAGTTAACCTAGGGAAAAAACTTAACCATGTCAAAAAAAAAAAAAAGGTCTATTTGGACAAACCATTAAGGACTCTTCATTTATATGTCAAGTCTTCTGACAGTCCCATACTTTAACTAGCCACTCCTGTCAGGAAGGAGATGATTTGGACTTCCAATGGGAGGCCACTGTCAGGAAGCTGTTAAAGGCACAGAAGCCTTGCCAAGAATAAAAAAAGTTGGCAACCCTGTTTAAAACCCAACACCTTGTTCTCTTCTGTAGCAGCTGTGCTGACTCTGGAAAAGAACCAAAATATTTTAATTAATCTCTATAGGTGTTAACAGAAAATTGCAAGTTATTATAAATGCGACATCATGTTAATATTTGGTTCATTTTATGTTTGCTGGAGAGTTAATGGTGCAACTATGGCCACCTGCTAGATTTGGTTTCTCCAAGAACCTTCCACGAAAGGTATTTCATAAAAGGTTATATTTGTCTATTACAGTTACAGTTGGCCACATAATCTTTCCAACCCTGTGCTCATTGTGGCTTAAGGTTGATTTGCAAGATTGGCATTGCACACTTAAGGTTGTCAATTTCAATTCTCCAAGTTTCTTGTCTTTGTGTGGACAGGCAGAGTCCCCAGATCCCACGCGGTCCCCCCGTCATGTGGAATAACGACTCATGACAACATGCTATGGGATTAAATTGGCCACAACTTTATTAAATTTCAAATGTGGGTAGACCTTGGCTCAGGCATTGGGTGTTCTCCTCCCCAGTCCCCAGCCGGGGACCTAGGGAGCATCAGGGTTATCCAGTGTGTGTGGGGGGGATGGGCCGGCTCTGGAGAACATATGTTCAAGCAGAGATAGCCGCCCCCGTTATGCCGCCGCCGCAGGGGAGAGCAATGACGACCTTTCGGCGTACGGTCAAAGCCTCCCTTCAGAAACCCCTTTAACGGGGAACCCTGGTATCGCCGCCGCAAAGAGGAAGATGAACTAAAGGATTCCGCCCAAGGCCTGATACCGCCAAAGTTGTGACGTTTTGCTACGGGAAAGGCGAAACCTGCCAATGCAGGGAAATTCCTTTCCGGCCCTTTAACAGCGACCTTAACGTAGCAGCGCCCGCATACCTGTGAAGAAAAGTTAACCTGCAAAACCTGTGAAGAAAAGTTAACCTGCAAATAAGACATTAACTGAGGGTGGGTAGGGTGGGAGAAGCTCTGGAGCCAAGTGAGGATTCCCAGGTAAGATCCTCCCTCTATTGTGTGGGCAGGTAATCCCTCCCCTACCTGGCCTGGTCTCCTTGGCAACGCTTCCCCCCAGGTGGGATTGGACAACTGACTGAGGTAGGCGGAGACCTCCAGGTATCCCACCTGAGGGAAGGCAAAGCCAAGCCTATGCTGTTGGAGCCGCTCCAGATCTAGGGGCTGCGCGCGTCCACGCAAAGGGCGTCCCCCGTTTTAAGCGGGGAGCGGTCATTCCAATCTTATATTCACTTCTCTGTATTTCTGCAACATTTTGCATTAAAGCAAACACCTTACTAAAAAGCCGTCAGCATTTTAGTACGTATTTCTCCTTACAAACCTATATTTGTATGCAGCTTGACTAATATAGACATTTTGCAAGTGGTTTTCCCTAATGTAATGCATTTTGTATACCATTTTCCATAATATGTGCATTTAAATGCACATTTTATCTTATATATGTTTTTGTACACATTGGTTGGGGAAAGCTCATGATTCTTCTAGTGATGTATGTTGCTTCTCTAGGGGGGAAATCATGAGGGTTCTTGCACAAAATCTTATAGGCTGATAGCCTATAATTGTGCACATTACAATCCAGATTATATGGGGAATCTGGTGTCATATGATTGTGAACTAGTAGGTTTCTCAGAGTCACTGCAAGTATTTGATTGCATTTATCCTTTTTAAAAAAATTGTCCAATTGCAATGCTCACAAAGTAAAATATGTTTGGTTCTTAGTTAGGAAAAGAGATCTGGTAAGCTCTGAGAACTTAATATCTGAACGGAGAAGTAATTCAGGATCATTATGGGAGAGATGTGAAAATGGCAGCTACCAGTGGAAGAGAGACACAAAGAATTTTTGTTCTCCAGAATGATGTAATGCTAAGGGCTGGATAAAGGTAGGTCTCCTCACCCATGGACAAGTGATAAATGAATATCCATTTGTTGCTCGTGCCATTCATTTCAAAATGAATGAAAATGGAGTGGAATGGACCCCATATGGTTCAATTTTCTATTCATTATGAAATAAATGCGCACTCATATAACTTTTCCAGTGATTCATGAATCAGGCAGCTTTGCTCAACGTAAATCTATAACACCTTTCACACTCCTTTCTGCTTACTGGTTTTGTAATGTTTAATAAACAAACATGAGCTGAATTGGGATGCTCTGACTCATATTTCTTTCATTTCTCTGCATATGCTCTCAGTTGTTTGTTATTCAGCTGCCTTTGATGTTATTAATTTGACATCTGACTTTGTTATTATTCAGTTATTATTCATTAATTCCACATTTTCCATCTTTGATTTGTGTGTGTGTGTGAGAGAGAGAGAGAGAGAGAGAGAGAGAGAGAGGGAGAGAGAAAGAGGGAGCTAAACACATGCAGGTATCATTTGTGGAGAATGATTTACCCTACTTGTTTTTCGCACTGAACTAGTCAAAAGCTTGTGCTTTCAGCCAAGTGGAACTGGCATAACATTCTTGCATGAGGAATGCCCAGTTAGTAACCCACTAATTTTAGGGTGGAACTATTTCTGGAAATGCTATGTGCTGGAATGCTGAAGAACCACTTATTCTGCAAGTATATACACAGGAACTGGAACTTTGATTCAGACTTGGAGTATGGGGGGAGGGAAGCCTGGGGGAACTGGCCCATGAATATGCTTGCATATCATGTATGATTTTAACAGGTATTAGTAAACCTGTCACCACTACTGTGACATGATTTTAACACTATACCAATTGTATTAAAAACCCATTCATCTACATTACTTTTTCTTGAACAAGGGGAAAATTTCTTTTTTCACTCCGTATCACATGTTTAATCATTCAAAAGAGAGAAAGGGATAAGGTGTTATGTAGAACTACCAAAATTTGAGTCTTCTAAAAAAAGAGAATAAGGGTTCTAGATGAATGGGACTTAGGCAAGTATTCCCTTAATGCAACACTTGCTTAGATACAAAGATTACAACCTATAGTCTTCAACCAGACACTTAAGACAATGACTGAGCTATAGAAGATGCTATATAAAACCCTTTCCCAACCTCCCCCAGATATTTTGGACAACAACTCCCAGCATTCCTTAACATTTTCATGCCATTTCGGCCTGATTTGTAGTCTGAAACACCTGGAGGTTTCTAGAATGAGGTATGCTTCCCTATATGGATATTTTGCATGACAACAGCTAAATCAGGACTCCTAGGCCAGCATATAGACTCTTGTGGTCTTTGGGGGGGGGGATTCAATCCAAGTCTGGTTGAACCTTATTCCCTGTTCTGCCTTTTGGTTGACCAGAAGCACCTCTATTTTGTTTTGATGAGCCCTCACCCAGTCCATTCCCAACAACACTCAGAACTTGAATAGAATGGATTTAGATAAAAAAAGAGAGAGCCATTAGCATACTGGTGACGTTGAATCCCAAAACACTAAATGACCTCTCTTTAAGGATCCTACATGCATCCTTCAGCTGTGCCAATGGTATAACTAGACATAAGGAGCTAAAGTTACATAAGGTTAGTACTGGACCAGTACTAATTATGGTATCCAAGTCAGCATGAATGTGAGTGAATTTATCTGCAAAGCATTTTGCAATAGACAAACCTAAACCATGAACTGCTAGAGACTTGAACTGAAAGTGCAATTGAGAAACATTGATCAGCCAGCTGTGAACTCCTCATTGAGTCAAAAGCACAAGCCATGATTCTGTTGTCATCGTCTTTCTATTTATTTTCTATCCTTTCTACCCACTTTCTATTCAATTTTTTTTTTGCTTATCTTTAAATATGCATACCTTTTGTATCCTTGTTAGTGCTCCTTCAGTGAAGTTCAAACTGGTGCCAATCTTTCAAATAAGCTGTATATACTCCAACTCTTCCTTTAAAGAGCACTATCACCCAATGTCATCACCCAGCTGCCTATGTGACCATGTCTTGACATCTGATATCATGGAAGGGCTGGGAGCCCATTCAGACAAGCATCAGACATGGCCTTGGCATTGGAAACAACATTAATCTCATCTGTCTGTGATCTCCTCAAGGCAGGAGAGAGAAGCCAAACATTCTTGATGGTTTTGAGTGACCTTCCTTTGACCTTCGGTTTTCACCAGTGATCCGATATGGTTGATTTAATGGAAAATTCCAGCAAGAATAGATAACGTCTCCAGAGAGTGGTTCTGCATGTTTTTCAAACAAATCCCAGAGGCTGTTATTGAATTGCTCCTCCTCCCCAGATGCCCTCAGCTTCTGAATCCTGCATGAGCTTGGTTTGTTATTCCTTTTGTTTACCATCTGTGCCGTTTCTCTGAGGGAGATGCTAGACTAATATGGCTTATGGGGCCATAATTATACTGATGACACTCAGTATTCTTTCGCTCTTTTGTGTGCACATTTATCTCTGTATTCTTCCAAAGTCTGGCAAATAATAGAATTCATAATGGATCAACCATGTGAATAAAATAGGTCCACTAATGGGTAGGCTATTTTTTTTCTTTCTACAGCAGCCAATTCTTTCCAGTTCAGGTGAAGAGATATATATGACCAGAGTCAGAATTCTAATATTCCAGTAGTTTCATTCGTGAGTATATATTTTGAAGATGCCTTCAGAACCAAGGATACTTTCAGATTAATGGAAAAACAGAATTTGAAGGCTGGATTTTAAATTCACCATCCCTTCCATTAAGTAGAACTGATGGTGTGTGTGTGATGTATCTAGTATTTTATCATTTTAAAGCATACACATTCAGATTAGCCTGGTTTAACCTTTTCTTTCAAATTCAAATGACCTGTGACCACAGGATTATCTGAACATTGGATAAGACACAAGGAGCGCAACATATTTCACATATTTCACATGGAGAGATATAGAATGTAAGTTGATTCTGCCTTTGTGAATGGCTGGTGCTGTTGGATAGGATAGTAGATTTTGAGTAAGACCTTCACAAAGATCAACTTATTTGTTTCACCTGTTATGTATAATAATAGTAATATTATATAATTATTATTTCTACTGCTTATTGACATAGTAGTAGCTCAGTAGTAGAGCATCTGGATTTTTGGGGGTTTTTTGCAGATAGTCCCTGGTCTAATCCCCTGGTGTCCCTGGAAGATCAATACAGGTTAATATATAGGCACAAACATGTCTACGTATATGCCTTTCAAATTATTGGGATTCTTTGGGTGGTGAAAATGTGATGTCTAGTCATGATTTAGCTCCATCATAGGCAGATTATAAAAATAATATTGTATCACATGGAAATACATATTAGTTTTCATAGTCCTAATCAGCTTGCTTAGCTACGACACTTCCCACAATCAACAAATATATTTGTGCTCAAAGCAGTTCATATAAAAAAAAATCTTAAGTACAAAAGTCATCATACATAGTAAAATTATATTGCCACAGTATAACACCAACAATTCAACAGTTAGCAGTTCATTAAAAATATATGTAATTTTAAAGCAAGCTTACTAATTGGTCAAATAAAGATATCCAATACTTCCACATCTCAAAGTAGCTCCAGACCTGATGGCAACACTGTCAAGGACCTGCCCCTTATACCTAAATACAAAATGCCAAAGAGCCTGCTCAGAGTTCTTCTGGAATCAGCTCCTTTATGAAGGCTCTGAGAACAGGAGAGATGACAAGAGAGGTGAAAGTAGCCAACCTCTGATGGCAAACACGGATTGTCACTCCCCTCTGCAGTCCTTACAGATTCCAGATGTAAAGAACTGCTTCTTTTAGCAAGAGAAGACAGTCATAACAGCTTGTGCAGGCAAGGGGAAAGAAATTAGTGTTAAGAACTAGCGGCATGATTTCCTGAGGGATCCTGACATAACAAATTATGTGCAAACATAACTTAATATGAAAATAAATAAGTCACAGGAAGCCAGGAAGCATCATTAAACTTTAGAGTATGGTACCATAATTTACCAGATGAGGAAAGGTTCTCCTTTGTGGTCAC